ATGGGGTAGCCAGGGAGGGCTCTGCTCCCCTCGGCACTGGAAAGCTCCTGGTCACCGTGCTCCAGCTCCGACGCGGGGTGTGGAGGCCTCGGTGCAGGGCTATGGCTTGGATGATGCAGAAAATCCCTTCCGGCCTCGCAAGCCAGAGCGAAGCTGGGCGCCATCCTCCATCCCCCTCTCCAAAACACCCTTCAGCAGGTCTGGGCGGAGGCTGGCTGACCCGGCGTGGCCTGACCTACGGCCAAAGGGCTGGATCCGGGATTCAAGGTTGGCTTTCCTCCAGCGGATCACGGCTAAAAAAACCGGGATGTGTGTCGGGGGGTGCTCGGGGGCAGGTGCAGAAGGCACAGACTGGTTTCCGTGTGTCGCCTTTACAGGCTGGAGTGGGGTGAGGGATGCTGAATTTTGCTGCTGGTGCGCAGCTTTGAGCCCACGGCTGAATTTGCGGCACGGGATCGTGCAAGACCCCTCCCTGCAACCCTGGGACGGGGCTTCCCAGGCTGGCGCCCAGCTCGCTAGTGGGTAAACAAAGATACTGCAGTAAACATACCATTGCACTAGCACAAAGTGGTCCCGGCTGGAGACCTCCACCCTGGCAAGCTGGATGCTGGCTGATTCCCTCCCAGCCCATGCCGAGCCATGGCGGGGACAGGGCAGTCACTGCTGGTGACGTGCAGTGGAGCCTTGTTATCCACTTGCTGGCAGCAGGAGGAAACTTTAAGGGCTGGGGTGGAAAACAAAAAGCAAGAAGTTGGTTTGGATTTTTTTTTAACTGGCTCCTGTTGATCCCGTGGAGGTAAGGGCACGGGAGGAGATAAGGCAGTGGGGGTTCCTGGGGGGAGACAGTTGCAAAGAGCAAGTGAGAGCACGTGTGGTCACAGGGCAAACACAACCCATCTCCCCCGTGACTCCTCAGGTCAGACTGTGGCTTGAAAATCTCTGCTAATTCTTCAATCCAGTTGCCCATCTGGCAGCTGGAGGAAAGGGACGCTAAGTCCGTGTCCGTCAGAGCAGGGAACACCAGGGTGACCGTGGATGCACAGGTCCAGGGAGGAGGGATGTGCCGGTGAGGCCGTGGTGAAGGGGATGTTGCGGGATGGGCTGTGCTCATTCGTGGGGGGTGATTTTGGTGGGGGTGTGGGCTGTAATGGGGGTGTGTGTGCAGGTTGGTTCCTTGCTGAGGCACTACAGCAGCCAAAGGATGGGAGGAGTGGATGTGCAGTGGTGGCAGGAGGTGGCTCCTCGGTCCCACACTGACCCGAGGAAGGTTAAGGGGGGGTGCAAGCAGCTTGGTGCTTCCTTCGGGCTGTGAGCAGGGAGCGATGCTGGACACACGCCGTGGATGATTCCTCTCCGAGGGCTGTGGTGTCACCGTCCCCAGAGCCGTGCTGTCGCAGGATCCCTCTGAGCCTGGAGCAGAGCATCCCCTGGGAGTTTTGCATCATCTCGTTACCCAACGGGAAATTATTTGCTGAAATTCTGTTCCCTGACCGCCCCCATCACCGGCTTCTCAGTCCTAGGAGGGGGCCAAAGGGATGCTGCCGAGGGGGCAGCGGGGGACAAGGAGGAGCTGCTGGCACGTCACCATTGGCACAAGTTGCTTCTTCACCTCTGTAACACGACAGGCAGCGGAGGGCATCGCTGTGGGGTGGGGAGGGGAGGGAGAAGGGCTGGCTCGCTGGCTCTGGGTCACCAGCTCCAGTAATAAATACATGGCTCATCTGAACTGTACAGGGCTGAGCTGCGGGGCAGCGCTTCTCTCCTGGAGGAGCCGCCCGCGCCCGAGCTGCAAGGAGAAGGCAGACGTGGCTCAGATCTCGGTGGCGATGATGTCCTCGTAGGGGACGTCGGCACCCGGTATGTCCAGCTCGATGGGCTCCTTGCCATCTTCCCCTGCAGCGAGCTGCTGGAGCATCTTCTCCAGGTTCTGGTTCCTCTTGTACATGTGCAGGTAGCTCTGCTGCAGCTGCTTCTGGTAGTGAATCACCTTCTCCTTCTCCTCCTTCCATGTCTGCCGCTCGTGCTGGAAGCTAGAGGTCATCTGCTCGTTGTTGTCCCGCTCAGCCTTCAGCTCTGCCCTCAGCCTCTCCAGCTCTCCCTGCAGGGCTTGAGCATCGTCCGCCACGGCGCAAGGCCTGGACACCTCCCGGGCTTCGCTCAGCTGCTCCCTGAGGATGGCGAGCTCCGTCCGCAGGTCCACGATCTCCTGCTCCAGCAGGTTCACCTTCTCTCTCAGCAGCTCAGACTCGTTCTTCTTGCGCTGGAGCTCGTTCTCGCACACCTCCAGCTCCATGGCTTTGGTGCGCAGGGAGCCCTCCAGGTCCTGGGTCTTCATCTCCAGCCCTTCCATCTTCACCCTCACCTCCTTCAGCTGAGCCTTCAGGCTGAGGATCTCGGTGGTCTTGGTGTTGAGCTCTGTCTGGGACTCCTTCAGCTGCTGCTTCAGGAGGGAGATCTCACCCGACTTCTGGCACACCTGTGGGGAGGGATGCAGCACCTCAATTAGGGCTGTGCCTCGGAGAAAGCCCGCGGTGCCCATGATGCTCCCTGCAAGCCATGCTGGGCACAGCTGGCGTTCAGCACGTTGAGACCCTGACCATGAAATCCCAACCAGGGAAATGCCCTGGCACAGAGGGTGATGCCCCAGCTCCCAGAGTGGCTGGAGACAACCCCATGCTCTCCATGCATCAACACTCCAGCCGACAAGGGCTGCTTGTGAACATCTGTGAGGACTGAAGGAGCTGAGGTATGGAAATGGATGGTGTTGAAGTGCTTGTGACTCCATACCCTGTCCAACGTGTTTGCCGAAACCACCGCTGGCTGCTCACACGGTCAGTTAAACTCGCCAAGCTTGTTTCGCAAACAGACACCCAACTGCACCCTACACCCTGCAAAATCGCAGCTGGGAGCCTGCAAATCCCACTGGAGCATCCCACTAGAGCCTAAAGCACAGCTGGTACAGCTGGTCCTGGAGACAGCTTTTGGGGGTTCAGCATCCATCTGCTCTTGGGATCCTGCGGCTGGAATTTTGGTAGGGCTTGCGAACAGCCTGGAAAGGTGTCTCAAACATGCAAATAAACTAGAGATACTGAAAGTGCTGTGAGAAACTCCTGCATGCGTGGGGGCAAAGGGTCCTCGAAGCACTATGCTTCTCCCTCTACAGCCGCAGCGAGGTGACATCAGTGTGTTATTCAGGTGGGCGAGCAGGCTCACTTCCAGATTTCCAGCATTTTAAATGTCTTTGTTCAGTGATACCCAATCAGTGAGAAAATCAAGCACAAGCAGAGAGCGGGAGGTTTTACTGCTCTCAAATAAATGACCACAGCGAGTCCCAGTAGTTCCTATTTACCCGTGGGAAGGCAGATTTACTGCTCCTTTGGGGCAGGCAGCCTGAAAAACCCTGTGCTGGAGGTTGGAAACACAAAGTTATTTTAATGACTGGGGTTTTTTATTGTAGTAGTTGTCTCCTTGCGTGATGTGAAGTGCTGAGGGGTTAAGAGGGGCAGCGAGTTGCTCCATTATACCTTACGGAGCCTCCATGTGACAGACTAGGGCTCTCCTTGGCTTTAATACCTATCTCCTACAGCCTGGGCTGAGCGTGTGCACCACCTGCTCTGCCCAGACCCTCCCCGGTGCTGCTGGATGCAGGTACAGAAATGGAGAACTGTGTGGTGCTGGAGCTGTTGCCTTCCATGCACATGCTCTGCTTTTGGCACTGACAGCCCAAAGTACCTCTTCGTGCCCCCGTCCCGCTTACCTCCCACTGGGTCTCCTCCAGTGCCGGGGCGAAGCTGGTCTTCTCCTTCTCGTAGGACCTCAGTTTGGTCTCCAGCAGGTTTTGCTCTTTCATGAGGTTCTCCAGCTCCTCGCGGAGCTGCTTCTTCTCCTGCTGCAGCTGGAACACCTGGAGGTGAAGGACCTGCTGTGTTCGCTGGGTTTTCTGTGAGGTTTGCTTGAGCTTGCTGTTGCATTTCTGCTTGAGACCCTCCAGCTCTTCCTTGCAGCGCCGCTGCTTCTCTTCATACACCTGGCAGGAGCTGACCTCCTTCTCCTCAAAGCTCGACTGAAGCTCCTGCAGCTCCCCCTCCCTCTCTAGCAGCTTCTGCTCCAGCTCCTGGATGGTGGACTCATCCGTGGAGATGGGTGAACGGATGCAAGTGGTCTTCTCGGCAGCGTGGTGGTGGGGGGCTTTGCCGGGGTTGAGGATCTTGTTGCCCCCGTCAGAGAAGGACATGGCCTTGAGGCTCATCATGTTGCTGTCCTGGATGATGGCACACTGCAAGATGTTGTGGGCTGAGCCCCCGAAGCGGCTGATGGGTCCCATGGGCGTGACGAGGGGGTCGAGCTGGTAGCTGCTGCTGGTGCTGTGGGTGGGGAGGCTGGACATGGAGTTCCTGCCGGAGTCAGACAGACCCCCTGAGCACAGCACTGGCTTCAGCTCCTGCTCCTTGGCTTTGTCTGCAGGGTGCAACTGCTGGGAGAGGTGACCCCCGTTCTCCGGGGAGGAGTGCAGGATGGCGCTGGACCGAGGCAGCACCGGCTTGAAGGCGGTGGGTCGTGCGAGTGGCTTCTCCGCGCCCTGGGGAGAAGAGCAGAGCCCGTCAGCACAGTCTGACACCATGTCACCTGTTGTCCCCCACCCCTCATAACCCCAAGATGAGATCCCCGTGGTGGGGATGGCTCAGACCTCCATCATGGGCTGAAAGCTCAGGAGGATGCTGATGGGTAACACTGCCACTGTTGGGAGGCAGATGGTATGTTTGGAAACGAAAGGATACAGATCATATTGCTGATCCAAATTCCTGAAAGCAGAAGGTGGCAGGGTGCCCTCAGCACCTCCCCGCTGCCCCTCTCCTCCCGCTTCCTTGGCACTATGAGCCTTCTCCTGGACCAGGACAACCCTGTGGCAAGACCTGTGCCTGCTTCGCGGGCAGATGCTGTCCTACCCTAAAAGTCCAACAGCACTGGGGGACACCCCCACACTTCTGGGATGGCCATCTCCCCTACTAACCACTTCCAGCTGACTGGGAAAGGGCATCAGCTTCTGCGGCGTGGGGGTTCCGAAATCCATGCCGCTCGTCCCGGCTTGGCTGCCCAGCTCCCCGCTGGCAAGCGAGGTATAGTCCGCTCGGTGGGAGCCGTGCGATTTCTGGCTGACCTTGATGTAAAAGAAGTCCTCATTCTTGCTGCTTTTGGAGCTGGACTTGTGGCTGGAGTCCTGGGAGAAGCCGAAGCGGAGCAGCCCGTCTGAGTACCTGTTGAGCTTTTTCAGGTGGGACGACTTGCGGAGCTTGTACTGGGAGGCTCGGCAGTGCTTGCTGTGGAAGCTGTGGCCGGAGATGAGGCTACTGACGCTGCCCATGCTGCTCCCGGGCGGAGGGCATGCAGCGGAGCCCGGCTGAACCGTGTGGCGAGGGGTCCGGGCAGCGGGTAGAGACGGCAGCTGCTGCAATCATAGCAAAGACCTCGCCGCACCCCGGAGCTGCGAGCCTGGGGGAGGCAAAGAGAGCAGGGTGAGAGGAAGCGGTGTGGGAGGTGGGTGCGATGCTGCGCCCACGGTTTGGGCATGGGCAGGAGCCCACGTGAGTTTGGGTACCAGCTGGCATCAGCATGTGAAAGGGCTTGTGCAAAAAAGGGGGGCATGCACCTCAGGGTGTGAGTTGCTCCATGTGTGTGTCCAGGGATGGGTCAGTGTGTGTCGGGTTGGGGGGGTGGGGTGCAGATGAGCTGCTCGGTCCTTGGGTGTGAAGACAGGGAGAGGGATGCTTGCTGAGGCTGGTACCCCAGCCCACGGCTGCTCTTCCCCATCCCTCCACGAAAACCTCCGGTGAAGGAGGGTAACAGGGAAGAGCAGGGCTTTCCCCTGTGCCAGGGGTGGCTCCAGGAGCTTCCAGTGTCCCCGAGGCGGGCAGTTACTGTGGCATGGCCCCTGGCCAGCTGGGGACATCTGCCCCGTGCCCGAGGGCTCGGGAACTGCTGGGTACACTGCACCCGGATGAGGCCAGGACAGTTATGAAACACAAGTCTCTAAACATAAGGAGGAGAAAAGGGATTTGCAGTGATTTTTAAAAGCCTGAAAGGCACGAATTTCAACAGGCACCCAGCCTCCTGCTTGTGCCGTGCAGGATGGATCCCACCTCCAGACACTGCGAGATACGGTCACAACCTCTCCTGCATCAGCCTGTCGCTCCCTGATTTCTCTCCAGTTTTCAGCACTCCTCTTAACCTACCCGAAAAGGGATGCTGTGAGGCTTAATTACGCTTAATGTCTGTGCAGCACTTGAAGAGGAGAGGCATTGTGTGTGCTAAGTATTGTGATTACGGTTCGGAGGTATGCGGGGCTGTGTATTAACGCTCTTTGCTGTGGGGTTAAAAAATAAAACCCCGAAAATCCTGGCTCCTGGTGGCCCTTGCAATGTTTGGCTCCCAGTGTCAGGGATATAATGGAAATGCACCTTCCATCTAGATAACTAAAGGGTGAGGTGGGGAGAAGGAGGAAGGGCTGCTCGTAGGCAGAAGTTAGTGTATAATCAAAATGAGCTAAATCCCAGTTACACAGGATGCTGAGATTGGAAATGTTTGTGCTCTCCGCTGTGTGCGAAACAGCTCAAAGCTTCCACTCCTGGCAGCACCAGTGCTACAACATCCAGCTCTCCTCGGGAGCTGCCCCACACTGGGCTCCCATCACCCGAGCAGGCATCCCGGGGGGTAAAACCTCATCCGACAGTGGGAGAGGGTCGGTGATGGAGGGTGCAGGCACGGTGTGCCAAGGCATCCTTGCTGCCTCAGCCACAAAGCCTAGAGATTATTCCCGTGTTTTCCCATTCCTCATGATGTCCTGCCTTTTCCCATTCCTCATGATGTCCTGCCTTACACTCAGGTGCCAGCTCATCTGCATCCCGAAGAGGGTAACAGGAACCCACGCTCATCCCTCAGCTTTACTTGTTTTCTTTCCCTCTGTGCCCTGAGGACCCAGATTGATTAAGTGTCAAAGAAAAGTCCTGAAAAGACAGAATATCCGCTTTAATCCCCAAATCCATTTTTGGGAGATTAAGAGAAGTAAGTAAGAACTGAGGTCTGAACTGCTGCCTGGATGCTGATATGCTAAAAGTGATCGATGACTTCGGCTTCATTCATTTTTACAGGGTGAGAGGCATAATGTGTGCGGAGGGGGAGGAATCGCTGCGGGGAACAGGATAATTGGCACAGGAGGCTGCTCCGCCAGCCTGTGTTCCCGACACCATGCTCGTGTGTGTGTGTGTGCCTGCAGAAGAGAAAAGGCAGTGTCACAGCAGCAAAGCTGTCAACTATAGCGACACCATCCCGGAGACAGCGCTCGACATGTGCGAGCGAGCGGGGGGGAAAGCAGCCGCTGTATTTACACACACCTAGGGCAGAGGTGGCAGGCAGCTTTCATGCCTTAAAACACAGAGCCTTGCAGGGTGCATGGACCTGGGGCCTCGCTGTCCCCATGGCCAGAGCACCAGTCCCCTTGGAGAGATGCACCTTTAGTTTTTTGGGTGCCTGCAGAAGATGGGAGAAATGTGAGCAGGGAGAGCTGGGACTTTCCAGCCTCTTGGCAGGAGGCGTTTCAATCAATCCCAGCCCTCCTACACATGCCTGAGAGGGTTGGGCACGTCTTTTTCTTCTCCTTCCCTCTTTCGATTTAAAAATGAACACTTTGAAAGCGGTGGAGGAGTTGGCATTCATGCACCGCATTAGCAGACAGAGAAGCTGGAGCCAGCCCAGCTGCGAGCAAGCAGAGGGCACCAGCTTCTGCTCCAGCTCCGGGGCACCTCTAAAAATGAGGGGACCAGACTTGTCCCCCTTCCTTTTTCAGCCTTGGTGGTACATGCTTCTATCTTCGCCTGCACCAAATCTAGCGACTGTGTGACTGCAGGGAGCCAGATCGGTTTGCTGAGCCAAACAAAAACGAGTCATTATGTACATGCATATATATTTAGATGCATGTATATATATGTATATTTTAAAGGCTTTTGCGTGCTTGACAAAAGCCGCGGTTCAGTTAGGTTAGGCATACTGCACAGTGTAAACAGGGGTTGGAAAAAAGTAATTCTGAGAGTGCAGGGTCTGAAAATGCCCCAGGAACGGTGGGTGCCTCGGTCCGTGCAGCCCTGGGAGGGGTGCTGGACATGGGGCTTGTGCCCGGGTCAGCAGGGTGCCTGGCCCCATGGCTGTAGGGGAGCTCACACCACGGCGAGCAGGGCAGGCAGCTTGGCTAAGTGTGTAGGCATATCTGGGCTGGATGTTTGGGGGGTGCACGTTGTCTCCTGTGGGTCTGTGGGTGCCTGCCAGCGCGCGATGGCGATGCCACTGTGCCAGCCCACCCCTGCAGCCCCCTGCTCCCGGCCTCGCCTGGCTCCTAGAGCTAAATGTGATTACTTTGAAACGCGCTTTGCCCTGTCACTCACCCATTACCGAGACAGAAAGCCAGAAAAGACACCAGCCTTGCCCTCTCCCTCTGCCACCTCTGGCAAAGGAGCCCCTCAAAGCCCTTTTGTTGCTGTGGTGGGGAGGGGGCCAGGGTGATGGCACGAGTCCTGCATCTGCCCCCCCGGAGCAATGCTGCGCCGAGGGACAGTGCCTGTGCTTAAGTCTGGTCCCAGGACCCTTTGTGGGACTTGAGATGGCTGTTAACAAACCCACCGAGCTGGCGCGGTTGAATCAGGAGCGTGGGGGTCCGGCGGTGATTGTCCATGGGATGTACCCCCAGTAAACACCCAGGCAGCGTGGGCTAAACCCATGGGATCGGGGCTGAATGCAGGGATGCACCCACTGTTGATTTTGCAGAAACAGAAGGGAAAAAATGAATGGCATGCCCCATTCCCTGCAGTCATGCCTACCCTGCAATCGCACGTGGGAGAGCGGCTCTCCCCATCGCCTCCTTTCTGAATGGGCTGCAGGAATTTCGCCTTATCTCCTTGCAGCGCAGTTCCTTTGAAGCCTTTCCCTCTTCCTTGCAGATTTTTCACAGGCAGTTGCTTTCTCTCTGCCTTCCCCCAGACAGGTCATCTTAGAGCCTTCGTTTCCTTCCAGGCTTTGCAGCATTACTCTCTCCCTGCTGATCCTGTTCTTCTCCCCTTGGCATGTGAAAGCTTCCTTCTCCCCTGCACTCTCTCGCCTACTCTTTTTCCCTCTTGGATTATTATTCATCACTTCTGTGCAGATGCACCCACACATTTGGGTGTTTGTTGGGAGATGAGGAGATAATACAGCAGCAGCTGCCAAGAGCCTGGATCCAGGAGCAGCCTCCTTCCTCTTTCCCCCTCGACCGCTGCCAGGTGATGTGCTCCTGTTTTACCCCATGATTTGGGTCTTTGAGACACCAGGAATGTGGCCCCAAGGGAAAACGTGGGCATTTCTATGGTAAAAAGCCACGCAAGTGCTACCTGGAGCATCTGACGTGTTTTAATGAAAAGAATGGCGTAAGCCAAAACTTGGGAGTGCAGCAATCCAGCTGAGCTGGACTTGGGATCTGCAATCAAAACCAGGTTCTGACTTCAGGATCCTTGAATGCTGGGCTGATGAGATGGACCCACCCTGGGCTGCGTGAGCATCTGCCTGTCTCCGCTCTGAATTAAGAGCTCAACCCGCTCTCCCCATGCCCAGCTGGAGCCAGGCTCTCCAAAACCTGCTCATTTTGGTCTCCAAAGAAATGGCAGCAATAGGGTTTGGAGAGCCTCATCAATGGAGCTGACCTTGCCCCCACCCTGTAATCTTCACCCTAATCGTGCTAATGGGGATGAATTCAAACACCGCCCAGGCAGACGCCATCCTTGTGGTGTTCCATTGTGGCTGGGTGCCGGAGAAGGGCCCCATTACAAGGCTTTCATTCACTCTAATTCATTGTCCCCCGCTCATTCATTGACATTCATTGGGATCATTTTGGTGGGAGGCAGGGAGTGAATTGAGTCCGGGATGCACAAAGCACGCACCATGTGTTCTGCCCTGATTTGCCATTAGTGAAGGGGGACACTCCAGATGAAGAATAACCAGCCTCAATTACATGTTACATCCACTCTAATAGCCCAGGAGTCCATCACACTTAATGTTATTTCAATGAACACTGAGAGAATTCACACTCACTGCCTGGTGCTTGTTAGAGGAGCCAGCAGTGGCCTTGGCAAGGATTTGGGTGGGCTTCCCGCCAGCGCAGCAGTAGGAGACACTGCCACGTCTCTGCTGGTGTCCCCTGGCAGCTGGGCTCTTATGCCAGGACCAACGATCCCGCTGCAGGTCCTGGAGGTGAAGGTGCAATGGCTCAATAGGGGAAAAAAAGCAACAGAAGGCAATCTGCATCCGTTTCGAAGCCCGGTGGCGGCACCGAGCACTGATTCCATG